GACTTTATCTGCAAAAGTACCTCTATTGGTGAATTCATGTCTTTTGAGTATGTTGCAATCAACCTTTTTAATGATACACCTGTGTTAATAATTGTAATATACAGACCTCCGAAGGAAAATAGTAAATTTTTGTCAGAAATTGCGGAATTATTATCTGTAGCGTCCACAAACTATGATAAGATTCTTCTGTCTGGGGACTTTAACTTACATATCGATAGTCCTTCAGATAGTAATGCATTAGAATTCATTAGACTTCTAGAGACATCTCTACCCACAAGCTAGGTCACATCCTGGATCTGGTCATCACTAAAGGTTTAAAAACAAAGGTGTCTAAAATCTCGGATGTTATCAGATCACTTCTGTATGTTCTTTCAAATCAATTTAGAAGTAAAGAAGAAAGTACCTGAAAGTTACTTTAAAACACGTTACATAGACTCAGAAACAGTTGAAAAGTTTAAAACTGTTTATAATAGTTCAGTGAATACAGATACAACTCCATCCTGTAATGATCTAGTCTCCGATCTAAGTGCTAGATTACGGGAAGGCCTTGACCTTCCCGCCCCAATAAAAAGGAATAAAAGCTCGCACACTCTTAAAAATCCATGGATGAATGTGGAAATACGCCAGCTTAAGAGAAATTGTCGTAAATCAGAGCACTTATGGAGGAAAACTAAACTGCAGGTACACTATGATATTCTCAAAGAGCAGATCTCAGTCTATAATAATGCTATTAAAATATCCAGACAGTCATATCTCTCTAGGGTAATCAATAGACACAAAAATAATACCAAAATCCTTTTTTCCACTATAGGCCGACTAAATTAACTCTAACTTCTCTGCTAGTGCGTTTAATGATGATTTATCTTCTAATATCTGTGAAGAGTTCGCAATTCATTTCCAAAATAAAATAGACCTGATATGACAGGGTGTAGCTCAGCAGACGCAAACAAGCTCCTATAATGTTCCTGATAGGTCACCCACATCAGTAATGACATCTTTCTCTGTTATCGTCTATGAGGAGCTCACAACTATTTTAAACAAACTAAGTTCATCCACGTGATCTTGACCCTGTTCCTACTTCATTCCTTAAGATGGTTTTTGATTGTGTGCACAATGATGTTTTAACTATTTATTAGTTTATTTATTGTTCTCTGTCAACAGGTGTTTTTCCAGATGCTTTCAAAACTGCCCTGGTTAAGCCTCTGCTAAAAAAGAGTAGCATGGATCCTTCTGCACTAAATAATTTTAGACCGATTTCAAACCTACCTTTTCTAAGTCTTAGAAAAAGTTGCTTTCAAACAACTAAATACGTATCTAATATTAATTTATATGAGAAGTTTCAGTCAGGTTTTCGTTCTAACCATAGTACAGAGACAGCATTGATTCGTGTAATGAATGACCTCAGGCTCAGCGCTGATGCACAAAATCCTTCTATTTTGGTTTTATTAGATCTTAGTGCAGCCTTTCGTACCGTTGACCACAAGATTTTACTCCAGCATCTTGAATACTGGGTCGGCCTCTCAGGCACAGTTTTAGAATGGTTTAAATCATATTTAAGTAATAGGCAGTTCATGGTTTCACTTGGAAATCATTCATCGAAACGATTTGCCGTTTCTTGTGGAGTCCCCCAGGGTTCAGTCTTAGGGCCTTTGCTTTTCTCTTTGTACATGCTACCTCTGGGTGATGTTATTAGGAAACATAGTATAAATTTTCATAGCTATGCTGATGACACCCAGTTATACATTTCTAGACAGACTAACCAGCTGTGTGTCAGATATTTCTCAGTGGATGTCGCCAAGTTTTGTACAATTAAATCATGAAAAAACTGAATTACTGATTGTTGGTACAGAAAGTCAGAGAAAAATGATTTTTGAGAAACTTGGTTCTTTAGCTTCATCTACCAAACCTGAAGTACGAAACCTGGGTGTGATCTTAGACTCTGAGCTCTGTTTTACCCCACATGTAAACACGGTCACTAAAGTAGCTTTTTATCGTGTAAGAAAATCCTAACAAAAACAAAAAAGAGAGATCACATCACTCCCGTTTTGAAAGAACTGCACTGGCTGCATTCAGGATAGATTTCAAGGTTCTGCTACTAGTCTTTAAAGCTCAAAACAACCTAGCACCTGCTTACATCACAGAGTGTCTGTCTGTTTATGTTCCGGCACGCAATCTAAGATCTGCAGATAGTGGCCTTCTACAGATACCCTCTGTAAAATACAGAAAACATGGAGAGGCCTCTTTCAGTTATCATGCTTCTAAACTGTGGAACTCAATTCCACCTATATTAGACAGTCAAGCTCAGTGCTCACTTTTAAGAAGCACCAAAAAACGTATCTCTTTAAATTAATATTTAACTAAAACTGAATGTCTCATGGTGTTTATCTTGTAATTTAATCTTCTTCATTTTCTTCTGATTCTAATTAAGTACTAATGATCTTTTCTATAACTATGTTGAGCTGCCACCGGCATGAAAAGTGCTATATAAATAATAATAATAATAATTATTATTATTATTATTATTATTACATTATTATTTTCACAAAGTCCATTCATTCTTCTCATAGAGAAACTCTTTTAGACCAAGATTTTTGTATCTGGGCGTAAGAGTGTGGTGCCGACCACAGAATGATGACACGACTTCAATGGTCTAGTGACTTGCCGTTAACACTGGAAATTATCTGTATCAACAAAAATGAAGCCAAACATGATAATAAATGATAAAAAAAGTTTAGAGAGCTGAGATGATCACAGTCTGCTCTGCTAGTGAACATTCACACATCAGGAACAAGCTTTACTTTAAACTACATCTATGTCATGATTAGATGATGATACAAGTCCTAGTTTATCTGTTTCCAATAAAGTGGTTTAGAATCCTTGAAAGAGTTTGTTACTGTTTAATGAAGACTATTTTTGGTTGATTATTTAAGAGTCAAAATAATTAGTTTTAAATAAAATAATAAAATCCACAAGCAAAATATTAACCATACAAATGTCCAAAATATGTTGCAAATACAAATACTTTCAAAAAGTTTACTACTCCGTTTTTGCTTCTGGAATGACTTTTTTCTTCTGACTTTTGGCACTTTTTAACAGGGGGCAGGTCTTAGAAGAGGGCGTTCACCTGCACTCTCTATTGGTCAACTGATTTAGAGTGACAGGACTCTGAACGCACAGCCCACTCAATGAGCTGTGATCTGCCTCTAACATGGTGGAGCACTTCGTACTCAGTGTAGTAGCGTTATTGCTAGAGAGGATTGTTTATCAAGGTTGTTAATGTAACACACGCTCATTGTCCTATTCACCCTGTGTAAACTTGGAAATTGAAGTATATTAGCTGTTCGCTGCTTTATTTTGCTAGCGCCACCTACCACAAAGTGTCAGCTAAAGAGCATCCTCATACTTGTATGTTGCACACAAAATGTATTATTATCCCTTGCACTTCCATACAGTAGACTGTTCACTGTATGTAGAATACAACACATAACTGCTTACTCTAACAGTATGAAACATACCTTATATATTACAGTATTTATGGTATTATGTCTTAGTAATATGTGTATATCATTCATAGATATATTTATAATTGCGTATATTTTGTTCATATAGTTATATATTTCATAGATACGTCATATTTATGCTTGTTATTGAACATTTGCACTGTCTGTTTTGCATTATTGCTACTATTTGCACTTCTGGTAGATGCTAACTGCATTTTGTTGCAGTTTATCTATCAATCTATCAATCTATCTATCTATCTAGCTAGCTAGCTAGCTAGCTAGCTAGGTGAGCTTTGCAGCTGTTTAAATCAGTGTGTATTAGCTCTGCTTCTGGAGACCTACAGCTTCACACAGTTTCAACTATTCCTTACATTGCAACACCTGATTCAGCTAATAATCAAGCCCTTCATGAGCTGAATCAGCTGTGTTGGTTCAGGAAATCGTTGAATTTGCTGTGGGGTCAAGGGAAATAACGCAGCACTGACCTAAACACAGTGAAGAGTGGAAAATACCCCTGATACCTACTGCTGCTGTGAGTTTGATCACTACAAAAGGAATTAAGTTAACCTGTCATGGTTGGCTGTAAGTTCTGGGGGTTATGACAGCTGTTCTGTCAGTCTTTTGTTGTTTCTATCTGCAGAATCCCTCAGTGTCAGTCAATGAAACAGGCTTCCTATCTCAGCACACTAGTTTACAGAACGCTGCTGCTCTAAATTACATAGCCTAGTCTATACATAGTCATAACATAGTCTTTACATAGCATAGCTAGCATCTGAAAACTTTCACCTGAGCAGTTTCATTCAATCATAAATAACTACTTTTGTTCTTCATCGCCCATATTAAGTTCTCTCGTTTTACCCAGGTCGACACAGGACCCATTAACTTATGTAACATTAATAATATAAAAGGAATATGATAAACATTGTTCATAATGTTGGATATGCCAGTAAAACGCTGCTCTCGTAGCAGCACTCAGTATGACGTGTTCCGCTATGCTGGGGGCGGTTTGCGCTGAGTGGCTACTTGTTCAGAAGACCTGTCACTCCAAATCAGTTGACCAATAAAGTATGCAAGTGAACACCCTCTTCTAAGATCTGTTAAAAGGTGCCAAAAGTCAGAAGCGAAACACAAGAAGAAAAAGAAAAACAGCGATTACACAAACAAAAATACATCATAAAATAAAAATCAGTAAATATCAGAATGAGTGAAAATGAGTAGTAATCTTCTTAAAAAGTTAAGTTTGATTCAACTCTCATTGTTTGTATTTGCAACATATTTTAGACATTTCACTACTTAATATTTTGCCTGTGGATTTTATTATTTTTATTTGGTAAAAAATTGACTCCATGATGTAAAGTCTTCTCAGCAGAAATAAATAAATACATAAATGACAAAATAAAACCATCATCGTCATCTTGATTTTTTTCAAGTGATAACAAGAAGCCATCTGCTTAATGTACATTAACTGGTGATTATTTTGCAGAGTTTATTGCAGCCCTAATTATCTCCATTTAATATGATCACTCAGATGCTTGTGAAGGTTTGATCAACGACATCAGTTTTGTGCATTTAGAAGTTCATAAATAATGAACCCAGTGCAGAAATGTGGATATTTCTGGTGTTTAATCTGCTTTTCTCTGTTAATCATGTGATTTCTCAGTGCTGTTTTTACATGTATTTGATGTTTAAAGAATGTTTTATAACAAAGCTGAACATTCGAAAATTATTGTTAAACAAACTACAACTGAATGAAAAGAAATAAAGTCACACTGATTAATGAGAATGAATGTAGCCACAAAAATGAATAAACACATACACACTGTGTTCTGCTTCACAGGGAGAAAATACTTCTTGAAAAAGTATTCAACCCCCTTAAAAGTCATCAGATTTGTCTGATTAAAAAACTGATCCTCAAATGTGATAATGGTTTTATATAAGAAAATATTCTGTGAGAAAAGTGACTAACTGAAAAATGCTGTTTGCATAAATATTCAACCCCTGTGCTGTGGAAGCTCAGATGAAAGATATCGCCCTAATGAGACACAAGTGGAAATTAGAGATAAAGTTCTAGACATGGCTACTAAATAATATTTAAGTGTTTGGATCCCTTTGAGGACTGTTGGATCAACTGTGAGCAAATGGACACTGCATCATACCACCCAGAAGGTGGTTCTATCAAATACTAGTCTGAAGCGATTGAATATTTCTGCAAGCAGTCTTTTTCAGTTCTGATTAAATTGTGAGAAGATACAGGAGTTTTCCCCATACAGTTATTGCAAAAGCTTTGTAAGAAAATCTAAGCCAAATATATCCCAAAAATAAGCAGTTTTGAGTTTTTTCCCTCCAAGTGCCTCATGTGGGCCCTTTAGGTCCTGCCAGAATGTGATCAACTGCTGTGGGGAGTTAAGGATGGTGGTGATCACACTGGCAAACTCTTCTCGATTATACTTACCGCTAAAATAATCCTTAAACTGGGACGGATTGGGAGAAGTTGAAGGTGAAAGTCCTATTCGTTCCAGACAGGCACCCACGTATGCATCCTCTATGTTAAACGGCTTTATTTCTTTCGAAACCTCAACAATCTTCTCTGAAAGGTCATTGGAGAAGACATAACCCATCCCCAGCAGGTATGTTGGGTAGTAGTCTTTAGCATATAATTCCTTTGGCACGTACCACTTGGAGTTCTTGTTCCGGATGACCGGTATGTTCCACATAACCTTTCCCGTCATGTAGTTTACTTTAGGCGTATCAGGTCTCAGTAACAAGCTCATCAAGTTCTCCAGATTCAAGAACATGTCAGAGTCGATCTTCATAGCGTAGGATGCCTGTGGGCAGTGTGTGGCCAGCCAGTCCATGATTACCATGGTCTTTATCGTTAAGTTGAGATACGTGTCCATGAAGTCACTCTGGACCAGGTCATGGTACTGCTGGCTTTCGAGCCTTAGTTCCTCCTGTTGTTTCTCAGCTTTGATCCCAGGCAGACCCAGCGAGAAGATCACCATGATGGTTTTGTTTTGGACCACGCTCTCATTACCCCATGTGCTTCGGATGGCGTTGCGAGCCTCCAGTTCGTGTGGAGCCACTGGAACCATGAGGACCAGAAATGGGTTCTCTTGTTCACACTTATGGGGCTCATCTATGATGAAGCGGTAGTTGTGTGGATGCGCTTCATGGTAACGGATGGATGATGCTTCTTTTACTGGAACAGCTGTCATGGACTCCATACTGAGCATGTCTGTCTTGTTATGTCTGTTCACTGTAGTTACTGCTGTGTGTTTGGCATCGGACGTCTGTTGGTTGACTGTTTTGTCATGTCTTTTGAGAGAGGTCACATTTATTAGTGTGTGATTTTTGGCTGTTTGGAATGTGATTAACTTGGCGAAGTTGCTGTACCACACTTTGGACGATTCAGAGTGGATGCCAAACACATAGATAGTGACAGACACAGTGAAGGTTATGGACAGCAATAATATGAAGCAGCTCTGAAAGCGCAACCTGCTGAGGCTGAAGGTGGCCATTTTCTGGGCTGGACTACAAGAAAAAAAATAAATAAAAGAGAGAGAATTAGTCAAAATGAAGTACCCTTTTTCTTGAAGTAAAATCCATGGTGCCGCCTACCTGGAGGCGCCATGCGGCTGGGGTCATAGATAGACTGTGGTTAGTAGTGAAAAAAGCCCCATTTATTACTGCCATTCCATCTATTAACAACATTTGCAACCAGACATGTCTGTAAAAAGACCATACTGACCACATCATCCTTATATGGGTTTTAGATAGTGTTTGTCAGAACAACTATTCCAGATCAAAACACTGCATGTCCGTCACAATAACAATGGGTCTCATTCTGACATTCACCACTGTTTTCTTATTTGGGATTTGTGCTTAGGTAATAACAGAATCTACACACACTCATGAGCACAAAGATGTGAACAGTTCATGTCTTAAATCTGATGTAGACTTTTTCTTGAAACTTTTCTTAAGAACATATTTAAGAAAAAACGTGTTTTGGAGCTTAATTATTCTGGCCTTTCCTGTATCTAATTTTGCAGAGAAGCAAATCACTTTCTGAAACACTCCTATCATCATCTAGCTTGTCATCTTCTTTATACAAATGTGTAATTGTTGGCATAGCCACACTGTTCTGTCCCCTTTTGTTTCAGAATCATCAACTCTGGATCCAGCAAAAGAGCCCCCCTATCACACTCACTCGTCCATGTTTGATAGTTGGTGAGGAACCATCCTTTTACCAACTCAACTCCAAACAAAACCCCTGTGTGACAAACCATAGACTTCAACTTTTGATTCATCAGTCCATCAGACCTTCCAGTCTTCAGTAGTTCTGGTGGTGCTGCAGGACCCAGGAAAGCCTCTTTTTCTTATTTGATCATCTTAGCAATGGCTGTTACTTAGCAATACTGTTAGCAATACTGTTACTCAACCAGTCAAACCTGCAGCTTAAAGTCTACTATTCACAGTTGAAACTGAGACTCGTCTTCTGACTCTGTTGGGGCTTTGAGCTGTCAGACCTCTTCCTGTCAGCGTTTCCTCCAGTTTCAAGTGCCTTTGGATGGTGCAGGAAACTGTACTCACTGTCACTCTGGCTTTCTTTGCCAGGAAAGACCTGCACCTTTAAGGGTTATAACAGTGTCCAAATACTGCCCTAGAGGGTGTAATAATTCAGTCTGTTCCAGCACTGCTGTTGTCCAGACATAAGGTTTATAAGTAACCAACAGAAGTAGCGACACCTGTAGCAACTGTTTGCATGAACTTTAAAAACCTTTAATTTCAATTAATTTACTTTCATTGAACGCTTTAATTCAATGAAATTCAGTTAATTGGTTAAGTTGTTAATCAATTAATTGTTCTCTGAAAATAGAATGTCATGTAAATACTTAACACCTTCTGATATCTTTGTGATCCATCAAGCTTAAACAAAACATATTTTTTTGCTTATTTTCTTTGATTATAATTGAGTTATTTTTTTATCCAGCTGGAAATTCAGCTTGTCAACCACACTGACCACCAAAGATCAGCTTAGACCATCTAAACCCAGCTAGCAGCAAAAGCTGATCTTAGCTGGACAGTTCAGCAGGAGTGTTAATGCTGCTGCTGTTGCTACAGGAAACACAAGTTGGCTGGTTATGTGAAAACCACAGAGGAAGTGACTATAGTTTGAAACAGCTTAAAACACAGAAACAAGCACTGATGATAAAGCTCTGTAAATTAAATATACAAACATTTAAAGAAACAGTTTTAAAACAGGTTAAAGTAGTTTATGTGGAATTTGTGTAGTTTAAAACACAAACATTAAAAGTGGAAATATATAATTTAATTGTAAGAAGCTTTAACAGATCATAAAACATTGCAGTTATTACTCGTTTGCTACTGTAGCTTTTGTGTGTTTTTTCTAAAGCTTGTTTTTGCAAAAAATCTAGTCCAGAGTATTTCATTCCAGTCTTGGAGGACCAGTGTCCAGCAGTTTGGTCATTACCCTGCTCAAACACGCCCACTAAACCTGGAACTGAATAGCGCTGATCTACCACTGCCTCAATCTACTCATCAGAGTTTGTACCTACAGCTTTATGTTCAAATGGATATAAAAATGTAAAAGGTTACCTGCCTGTAATATGAGGGTCACTGCTGCTGTGATATTTCCTGATGTTGGGGAAGCCATGGCAGCATGATCTTGAAGATAACAGAATACAGAAAAAAGAAAAGGTAAGAGACTTGCTCACTGCTCTCCTCACACTAATAAGATATTATGATCAAAGCAGCAGAGACCCAGAAGACATTGACACCTCCCTCTTTCAGCTTATTGTCTCTTCCTTTTTTCAAGAACAGACACTGTCAGTTTCCAAGTCTGAGTGTGCCTGTTGCTTTCCTTGTGTTGTGACCATGTGCTTTTTAGCCATGTGCTTTTGTTTTTGTTTTGTTTCCTTTGCTCCGCACTTTTCCCTCCTTCCCTATTAGGATTCTCACCTGCTTGTAGTCCTTTTCTCCTCCCTCTCTCAGATGTTCACTATTGTTTGTAACCTATTTCAAGCCCTTTGTTCCAGTCATCGTTGTCTAGTCTGTACACGTTACAATTTTACATGTAACTTGTAGTTTGGGTTTGACAAAAACATGTCACAACAGATGTCAGATTCCCCATGAGCGAAAACTTTTCTTTTTTCTTCTAATTTTCATCACCCTGTGTTTTTAAATGTTGGGACACTGTAGAAGTATTTGATTTACTAGGTTGTCATACTGTGAAAATATCAAAAACGGCTGAATGTCTAAAAAAAAAAGCTTGACCAGCAGAAGCTGATTAAACGTGTTAAGTTTGCTTGACTATCAAGCTGAAACCAAACCCTTTCTTTTGCTTAGTCCAGCTGGATGCTCAGCTTGTAAACCACACTGACCACCATCTTACTGATCTTAGCTGGACAGTTCAGCAGGGGTCTTAATGCTGCTGTTGTTGCTATAAGAGACGCAAGAGCATGTGACGTTGGCTGGTGATGTGATAACCACTGAGGAAGAGAGCTCAATTTAAAACACACAAACAAACACTGATAATGAAGCTCTGTAGATTAAATATACAAAACTCTGAAGAAACAGAACTCAGTTTTAAAGCAGCTTAAAGTAGTTTATGGAGATTTGTGTAGTTTATAACAAGCATTAAAGTTGAAAATATATCATTTAAATATAAAACACGTCAATAGTTTATAACACAGTGCAGTTATTACTCACTTGCTACTGTAGCTTTTGTGTTTTTTCTAAATCTTGTTTGCAAAGAATCTAGTCCAGAGCATTTCATTGCATTCCTGGAGGGTCAGCGTCCAGCAGTTTGGTCATTTCCCTGCTCAAACTTACCCACTAAACTTGGAACTGAATAGAGCTGATTGGAAGCTGAAGCTGAAGGGAGAGCAGATAAGCATGCTGGTAGTGGAGCTGAGTACAATGGTTGGTCAGACACACCCGGCGTTCGGGAAGTCTGCGCAGGAAGAGTTAGCATTGGAACACTTCCTGAACACTCTGCTGCTGCAGGATGAGACACCATGTCCAGCCCTCAAGTAGCTGCCATTGAGGCACAAAGGACAGAACTCATCCTCAGTGAGAAAACACCATGCTGACCAGCATAGTGCTACGCAGCAGAGTAGCTCGAGGAGGAGGCCCTGAGCAAGTGGCAGTGGAGAAACTGGTATGCTGGCGGTGCAGGAAGAGGGGGAACTGTGCCAATTTTGTGATCCTGAGTCAGCGGAGAAACAGAAGCCAGCCATAATGCCAGGCGACCCCTTGTAGCTGTGTTGAGTGCGGTTCCCACGGCCCTCACCGTTAAAGTAAGCGCTTGTTATAGTCACATCTGTTCATCAGAAACAGAATAATCCTATCTGAAATACACAGCAGGGTGATGAGTGATAACATCCCACATTCAGAGCTCATAATTCCACATTTACTGTTAAATAAAGACACAGAATATTATCTTGGGGTACTTCAACACATTAATATAACAATCTAAAAATCTGATACTCCATTTGCTTCTTACTGAGGAAACTGAAACTCTACTTTATGGCTTAAACATTTTCACCATGTGCACTGTTATACTCTGATAGTTACAGTAATATATTTGTAGATCAGACAGAGAAAATCTTTACTACTCACATTCTTCTGTAAAGACATTGCCCAGCTGTGTAACTCAGTGGACGGTGCAGAGTGTGTGTGAGGGTGGAATGAGTAAATGTTGCGTTTAAGGTGGGGTTTTATCAACACTAATTGGTTTCCTTCCTTTTTTCTGCATTCACAGGAAAAAACCACCACCCTAACGGCGCTTTATAGCTGTCACTTTATAGTCTTCGGCCACACGCACACACAGCATCTTGTTGTGTTAAAAACTCCAATAGAGATCCACTCATTCAGAATGTGTTAGTTAAATCAAGATATAAGATTGTGGTTAGTGTTAATTTCTGTGTGTACAAGCTTTAACTTCTTAAGAGGAAGTGGAAGAAATACTGAAAGGAACCAGTACCCAGCAGAGGAACCCATCCTCCTCTGATCCATAATGGATGGAAAAACAATAATACAACAAGAGCAACATGAATAAAAACTGACAATAAATGTACAATTCTAAATATAGAATAAAGAAAAGCCTCCCTTTTTTTTTACTCCCTAACCCGATAACTGGTTGTGCCATCCTTGGCAGTAACAACTGCAATCAAACGTTTGCGATGAGTCTGTTACATTGCTGTGGAGGAATTCTGGCCCATTCTTCTTTGCAGAATTGTTTAAATTCGACTACATTGGAGGGTTTTCAAACATGAACTGTCCAGTTAAGTTACTGCCACAGCATCTCAACGGGATTCACTTTGACTGGGCCACTCCAAAACCCTAATTGGGTTCTTTTGAGCCATAAAGAGGTCGACTTGCTTGTGTGCTTGTGTGCGATCTTTGTCCAGCTGCATAACTCAACTGCGCTTGAGCATTATGTCACAAACTGACGGGCGGACATTCTCCTTCAGGAATTTCTCATAGCAGGGCCGCCGGAACCACAGTGGCCAGCGGGCATTTGCCTCGCCTCACCAAGGCGCTTTCAGACCTGCCTTGGATGGTGCGAACTGTCCAACTTTTTCTTTAGTTCAGTTTAGACGTGACTTAATCTTAATTCTAAGTTTTCAAAAAGAATCAAAAAGACTTCAGATGCTAAGTTCTTGTGGAAAGGAGAAAAAGGTCTTCACTTTATTCGAGCATCAAGGGGCAAGCGGTCCCTGGAGACCCAAGTGCAAAGACGGGTTCAGCACATCCCTTTTTGTATATCCTTCTGGGGTGATAAGACAATCACCCAGCCCCGTTTACAAAGTTCCACACCATAATAGACCCTATTAGACCCAAAATGTTAACCCTTTTTGGCTACCCTTAAAATCTAATGTATATGATCCTTCTTTAAGAACTGGTCTGATCCTGCTCATACCAGGCTGTCCTATCCTTGAAAGATCATGTTACACAACTTTCCATATGAGTTCAGGAGTCCACTACAGTGAGATTTTTCATGCACACAGCCTATGGCCTATTCTTCTTCCTATACCAGCTCTTTGTAAAAGAAATCAGTATTCTCATTTCAATCAATACCTGAACTATTGATTATTGATTATCATTGATTAAGAGAATATTTATTCATTAATTAGTCATCAGTGTGATGTTGAATTAAAATGTAGTAGATACAGGCTGTTTTATTTGTCCTGTACACAAGCAGCTAACAGCTCCCTGAAACAGTCCGACAGGTTCTGATGTGTTAGATTGATGTGATTATGGACAGAGATGCTCATTAGGTCTGATTCTGATTTGGGGTGTTATGAGGACACTACCTTCTCTTCACAGCGGGGCTTCAGAATCAGCAGTAGGTTCATCAGTGCAGCTGCAGTTTGGAGGTGAAATGAAGGAAGACAATAAACTACAACCACAACCTTCACTAAACTGCGCTTTCTAATGATTATATTTAACAGAGATGAAGCCACAATGCCCCGTTTCTGCTTGAGCGTCAAGCTGCAGTGTTAGGAGCGTCACACACTCACAGGAAGACACAATCAGCCTCAACGTTTTAACATTCTCACATTAAACACACACACAAACATTCATGTGGCTCAAGGTCAAATAACGAGAGTTTCATAGATTTATTAGACTATTAAAATCATTACCAAATAAACTGCTTTATTATTTACCAAAATAAGCCAAGCATAAAGGGAATAAATATCTGCAGGGGTGCAACCAAAGGTTCAAGGATGGGGGGGGCTAAGCCTGTGTAAGCTTGTCCAATAATTTTTTTTTTTTAATGGCACCAAAATGTTTGTAATGTACTTCTAGAGTATAAACAGACAGAAAAAAAATTCATCTGTTGTGTTAAGTATATCAAAAAAACAGTTATTTGGTCAATTTTGCACATGGTAGTTCTGTCTCTTCATAGTTTGTATTAAGCACAGAGCTAGTATAACAAACATTATATCCATCCACTTACAACAGGTACAGATCAAGCAAAGGTACTGAAGTCCAGCAATGCTCTCTCCTTTGTCTTAGATAAACTGCAAGGTCTTACATATATTATTGAAACACCCAGATTACCAGTTCAGTCTCAGTTGGTACAATCAGAAAGAGTGTCAGAAATATTTCACGGTCATGGTGACTAATATTTTATTTTTTCAGTTAAATTAAAATAAATTCAGTATTAATTTTAACCGAAAGATTAAACTTCTTTTGGATCACTAACCTCTATCAGATCTGTTCCTTCAGTCCTGTCTGTCTCCTTCAGCTTCTTTCTCTCCCTCTCCTCCTGTGTTTAGTTATACATTAATTTTATTAAATTCATATCTACAAGAACTCAAACAAATAAAGAACAATCAATTTAATTTTTGTTTGTTTTCACTGGTAAAAATCTTCTCATCTGACTGGCCTTCAACGGAGCTGCTGCCTCTGAACTTCCTTAATTTCTAAATTGAGGAACTGAGAGATATAAACTGTGTTATGATGATCTTTTCACTCAAAGCTGAATCAGCATCTTGTTTGAATTTTCCACTTTAAATGCTGCAGCAGGTTCATTTTGGCGCCCCGAAGCGGAAAATCTGAACAAGAATCTGGCGAATAGGAAACAACTTCAGCCTCGACCTTTTCACTGACATGAACGCACTGTAAACAACAGTATGTATCAAATACTGGTGTCATTCTTTCCAAATACTGAATAAAGATCTAAAAACAAAGACTATAAAGGCTGTTAATAACATTATGTCTGTCTCTCTTGTTCGTTCACTCTGTATGAAGAGAGGCTAAACTAGTCGGCTTGTCAGCTAGTTGCTAATGTCAGTGTTAGCTTAGCCTCTTTTCTTTACCTCACTTAAACCCAAAGGTAACTAAAGTTAGTTAACTAGAGTTAAGCAGCCGAGTAAAACAGATATCCAGCTATACTGACAATAATGTGCCACAAATCCAGACTGTAGGTGGATAATCTCTCTGTTTAACACCGTTTCACTCTGTATATTATAGATTCTGAATGAGGTCTGATGTTTATTTTACTGAGCTTTTAGACAAAATCTTCAGCTCAGTTACCTGTTACATTACAGTGCATAAACAGAGCCCCGCCCCCAGGCCTGATATGATTGGCTTACAACGTATGAGGTCTGATATGATTGGCCGAACGTTACGTTAGTCAATCTCTGGTGGTGAAGTAGAGGCAGCACTGCATTAGGGCAGCAGCAGCGCCTCCCTCAGGTCGCGCCCTGCTATAACAGTTTATTGTGAATGTGAATAAACCATAGATTATTTGGACCAGTGATGTAGATTTACTAAAGCCCCCGTAAAATTGGCCTTGCAACACCCATGAATATCTGTTTATTTCTATGTTGGTTTGACTTAGTGAAGTCTAAAATGAGAGAGTTTAATAGATTATATATATATATAAAATGTTAGAAATTATAAAAGGAGTAAATAATGTTTATTATAACTATATCTGCTGTAAAGAATAGATTATTATGTACCGATATATAATGCGAACTATAAAAATAAAACCATTAAAATGGTTAAAATGATTAGCACAACATAACATTTATTTTGTTTGCGCACAAATAAAAGAAAATGTTTGCACAATTAAAGGGAAAACGTGTGCACGATTAAAAGAAAATGAGAAACTGAATTCTTAATCGTGGGAACTAATTAAGAAATTATGGCGACTGATAAAAGAAAACATGCGCACAAATTGCAAACAGTTCCCTCAAATTAATTTTTATTTTGTCCCACTGGGGCTCCGTGCTCTTCTGATAATCTGTTCAGTTTTTAAAGTGCTGCAAAAGTCCATTATTATGTGTATGAATGTTTTCTTTCTTCCTATTAATCTGTACTTATTCATTTATTTATTAGATTGTGTGAATGAGCTTCAGTAAGATGGTCATTCTGTGAGATGAACACAGGATTGATGGTCTCAGCTGCTTCAACCAAAGGACTTTAATAAAAGTGTTTTAACGCTTCTGAAAGTTTGAGGATGAGCTGTGGAAACGGAAACTGTCAGGAATATTTTTTCTGTTCAATTTGAGCAGAAAAATTGTTTGTATGCACCTGAAATGTTGTGAAAACCTAGGAAGCCTCTAAGGGGGCGTAAAGTGCGTCATAAAAAAAATTAGTATTATGTGACAGATTTATTTTCTGTTTTTGAGCGACTAAAAACTGTTTATTGTAAAAAATAATCCACAGTAAAATAAATAAATAAGAAAAATAACGTTTCTAAAAGTGCATTCTGAACACGTGGTGCAGCAGCAGTGCATCATGGGAAGCTGTAACAATATATATACAGGTGTTGCGCGACAGAGCCTCACCTACTTTGGCTGGACGTTCATGAGGTAGGACTTGCGCTGCTGCTCTGTGTAACTAACTGACCTTCACTTTAGGTCTGCGTGGTTCTCTGAACAGTATGAGTACAGAACCGAGCTGTGTTCTTCAGCAGAACAGTGAGGATGGTTCTCTGAACAGTATGAGTACAGAACCGAGCTGTGTTCTTCAGCAGAACAGTGAGGATGGTTCTCTGAACAGTATGAGTACAGAGCCGAACTGTGTTCTTCAGCAGAACGGTAAGGATGGTTCTCTGAGAGCTCCGTTTCTCAGCTCAGTGAAGGAGAGAGTTAAACTGCTGTGAGTCTCTTTATTCTCCGCTCCTCCTCAGCGCTTCTCCAAACGGAGCTTCATCTCTGATTCTGTGGGAAATTAGACAGTCACTAAATCACACTCAGCAGAGCGCGCGCACAGATTAAGGCCTTTTGAGCGCGCGCCCTCACACCGCGGTTCATTTTCCCGCGTTTCGCTTCAGCGTTACAAACTGACCAGAAGAAAAAGCGCCGAGCTGAAGCTGCATCTTATTCTCCAGCCTCTTATTCCAGTTTTCCGTTCCACCTTAAATGATGCAGCGGTTACGTTCTGGTGCCTTGGGCGCCGTTTAAGGTGGAACGGAAAACTTAAATGAGAAGCACGATGCTCCAGGCTGTAACTGCTGGTCATTTAAGGTGGAACAGAAAATTCTAATAGCAATTCACGCCTCGTAAGAAGAGTGAAGCGTTTTCGCGGGAATTCAGATGTTTACTTCACCCATCAGAGCAGCTCTGAAGAACCACATTCCCTGAAAAATGACCCTGAACTTTATAATTTCTGTAGTGTCCTGTTACTTTATTTCTACAGTTTTATATCTGTATTTATGAGTAAATATGTTTACTGTTCTGTACTTGTCAGTTCAGGTCCTTTAAAATAATGACAGCGATTTACACATTAAAGTTATTTTAGATTTACAAATCTTAGGTTTAGATTTATTGACTTAATACAGCTTGTGGGCTTATTAATAGATAAATATTAGTTTCTGTTCACTTTATTACACACTTTTATTGAAGCTTCTCAGTGTATTTTGACATTTATTTCAAAGATTAATTTGTTGTAGATTAAATTCATTGGCAAACAAGGCTGCTAAACACACTGAACAGTTCTCATGTCAAATGAGTTTAGAAATTTTACAAAAAATGTTAAGTGACTCCATTGACTTTACTGTACCAAACTTTGAAACAAACTAATACAATAATTGCTAATATACTACAGGCTTTATTTTTGGATATGATGCTAACAGTAAAAACTATAAACATTTAACCTTAACCTCACCCAGGGGTCGGCCTATAAACAAAAACGCAGACTTACTTTGTTCTGCTTTGAGCTTTGGCTCAGCTATAGCGCTTTTCTTGCATCTCCAGCAGGAAACTTTTCCAAAATTGCAACAGTTAGTCTAAACTTTAAGGATCATTCAGTGTCATAATTTATTTGCATTTAACTGTGTACTGTTATTGGTAAATAATGCTGATGTTTATGTATTATGAAATGCTCAAATTATGAATTTATTTACTTCAATTGCGATATTTCTATTTGCAGTGATTTCATATCGCCTGCATATAATCTTAATTATCTAACGTTTTCATTGTTACTACGCTTATGGCAGAGTTGGTAGGTGGACAGTCTTTTCCACTCAACACAGAGATGGAGCTTGGCTAAGTATCACTTATCTTTTCATTTATTCCTTTACATCTCATTACTGCATTTTTACTCTTCCAGCATGTGATATTCAGTATCTATCTACAAATCTCACAGATCTAGAGTACCCTATAATCACAAGAACTGCAGTTCATCTCAGCTTTTGCATTCCTCAGTTTGATGCACTTCCCGGCTTTGACGGATGTGGATCAACTTCCGAGAACTCAGCACTCTCGTGGCTCTGTCCTCATCCTTTAACTCTGAAACAGACTGGCAGGTGTGGTGGCACAGGTTTGCTTCTGTCTAGAAAGTGATGTTTCACTCCACTCTCATTTTCACAGCTTTAAATTTCTTCTTTTGAGTGATGCTGTTACTGTAACTTTCCACACTAAACTTTGTGTCATTGCTATTGTAATATTTTCAATTAAATATAAGCTTTAAATAATTTGCACATCATTGCATTTTTTTTATTTACCTGTTGCACAGCATCCCATCTTTTTAGAAACAGGTTATATGCGTGTGTGAGGGTTATCATTGGTTGCTTTGTTTGCATACCAAATTGTTTTTAGGATCATTCAGTGTATTACTGGTATTGGTATGTGATGCTTGTTTATTATGAAATGCTCAAATGTTTGATTTTATTTCAATTGTAAATCCTATTTGTAACGATTCTTTTTCTCTTATTTTCAATTAGGGTTCTTCACTGTATTGTGGCTATTATGGTCACTAGGTGCATATAATGATCTTTCCACTCCACAGAGATGAGACCCTTCAACCTTGGCTAAGTATCATTTTATATCCTTCATTTATTTCTTTACCTCTAATTACTGCGTTTTTGCCCTTGCAACATGTCTTTCAGTATCTGTCTACACATCCCACAGATCTAGACCTTACTGTTGCAGGAAGTGCCATTCATCTCAGCATTTGTGTCCCATTTGCTGCACTTCCTGGCTTTGACCAAGACTTGGATCAGCTGCCAAGAACTAAGCCATGCTAGTGGCTCTATCCTCTTAACTTCTCCCATTCTCTGAGACAGACTGGCAGACTGGCAGGGGTTTGCTTTTGTCTAAAGTGGTGTTTCTCTCTCTTTTTTCCTTCTTTAAATTTCCTCTGATTGCCATACTGTTACTGTATCTTTACTCACTAAACTTTTTATTTACATTACTGGGCTGAGTGTGTCTTGGTGGACCTACCAATCTTTTCCACTTTAAACAGCCAAGGTCAAACGGGTTCCCTCTCTAAATATCACTTATTATTCTTTATTTTTTTTTGTCTCTAATTATTGCATATTTGCATTTCCAACATGTTATTTATACCTCTGGACTGATCAGGGTGAAGGACATTTTAGAGCCAGTCAGTGAGGCCCAGTTTTCCTGTAATTGGGTAAGATGAGATCTCCATTTGTTTTGTTCATGTCAGTCCAAGTGAGTTTCTTTATTAAGCACCACTTTAAGAACCACCAATTCTCCTTTCCTGTAGACCTTGGACCCTGTGTCACAGGTTGAGGATTTGCCCCTGTGGTCCTGCAAGTGGAGGAAGTCCAAAAATGTGGTGACCTGTAGTAAGATCCTGTAAAACACCCTTATTGACCAACACTGGGTCTTATTTTACTACACTTTGTGTGCAAATGAAAAGCTGTTAGGAGGAAAATTGTTGACATAATCATTGCCATTAACTTTTGCATAGGTTTGAACTTGAATGTTGGTGAATCCAAATTTAAAAATGTTTTAATTGGCTCAAATTCCATGCTAGGTTCTCCTGGCTTGGACTTGCTGATGTCTGTGCCTGGCTGGACTGACTAGAGGATGAAGTGCTCAGTGTTCTGAGAAGTGAACCAACATGGTAGGATCCCATATTTGCCTGTAACTGCTTTCTTTTAGATTTGTCGAGTTAATTTTATAGTTTTCTGTAGTTTTAACTGCAGTTTTGTTCCTAGTTTGTATGCACCAGTACACTAATGTAGTAATTGACAATTATCCCACTGATGTAGTAATTTAGTTTCTGGTAATCAGTTCAGCTGCATTTTGCTTGAAATAGATTCTGTAACAGGACTCAAATTTTAAATACTTTTGTTGTGAAATTCAGCATTCGCACATCAAACTTCTTGGATTTTATCAACAAGATGGAGGGTTTCTTTTGATATTTGGCAGATCAAGCTGTCTATGCAGTCTAATCTCAAATTTGGGATTTATTTATTTTAGCTGTGATATTTCTATTTGGAATTTTCCTCTTGCAAATAGTTAAAATTAATATTTTTTCTATTATTGTTGCTGGATTTTAGGCAGTATGCCTAGGTGGACCTACCAGTCTTTTCCACGCAACAGAGTGAACCTTTCAACCGTGGCCAAGTATCATTCATTATTTGTGTTTTTTTTTGTTGTGTTTTTTATTTATTTTTTTTTTAAACACCTCTACTGCTGCAGACTTACCTAATTTTATGTTGTAAGTAATTCAAACAGCGTCACAATTTTCTTTAACAGATTTTTCTTGGTCTAGGTGCATCTGAGCTTGAAACAATCCTTACTGTTAGAAGTATTGAAGGATTGTCTCAACTTTGTGAAGGTATGTCACAGCTTTTTATTTTTATTTATTTGTAGTTGCTGATGTTTGTCAAAATAATTCTTACATTTCTGTTACAGAATCTGCGAATACAGCGGATTATGAGAATCCATTGGGTGAGTTGACGGTTTATAGTATATATTTTTTCTGTGTTAGTTGTTGGTGTGTAATGCTAACTCATATTTTTCTGTAGTAACTCTGACCCATTTGGTTGAAACAACGGGTCTCTTAACGCTGCCAGGATTCAATGCAGTACCCAGTACCTCCGCGGGTTGCGAACCCCGCGCTTTGTCGAAGTTTAAGCCCTGTTTAACAAGCAGTCCTGGGTGCTTGCCACAGAGTCCTCAAAGTGCTGCTGATAAGTCTGCTTCCGGCGGAAAACATCCAAGGATATGTATGAGCACAAATAACGGGTCAATTTCACGTGGGAAACGTCTTGGGTTTGATGATGGCTACAAATCTTTAGGTAAGAAAATACAAATTAAAGAACACTTTTTACATTATTTTTAACATTAGCGGTTGTGTGTAAAGGTTTTTTCTCAAACTGTTTTCAGATTTGCGCACCAGTGACCGCACTGCATGTGGTGATGTGCTGCGGACAGGAACGGCGTCGGAGGGTGACTGTCGTCTGAACTGAGGAGTTTTTGAATACTTGAGACCAAAACAGTTTCACAGAAAAGCCAGATGAGGCGGAGGATACTGGACCAATTAATACTGGACTAACTCCAATATCGGAACAAGTGAGAGACATTGATGGAGAGGGCTTAAAATCGAATCAGGAGCATGGACGTCAGGTAAGCGGCTCTTGCCTTTCTAGCGATGTTAATGAGTTTAGGACATTGCTGGGTCTGCATTCTCAAGAGATTACCAAAAATACCATTGAGCAGCGTAGACAAGGTGCTATTGTGCATAGATTAAATAATATTGTTCAAAAACTCACTGAAAATAATCGGAAATTAGTAAAAGAAAACCGTATACAGTTAGAACAGGTATCAAAGCACATACAGATGGTACAGGTTATGCGTGAAGAACAAAATGCACATTTTAAATCTTTAACAGATGTAATATTTAAACTCAACAGGCTTTTACAGTTAAAAACTTCACCAATTGTCTGTTGCAGGACCATCCAAATAGTTATTGTGTGCCAATTTGAAAATTTTTGTTCTTTACATACATTCCTGTTTACCTATTAAACAAACCACATCATCAGTACGTCATAAATTGTTTAAATAATTTAGTAAAAAGAAACAAACAAAAATAATGGTCTAAAAGTTCTCGGGAGTCAGACAACAATCCGTGTGTTAGCGACACAAATGATGTTTGGGAACAGATGTCTATTAGCGAATTAGTTTAAATGATGAGTATGAGTCGTCTACTAGTATTAATCTGCAAAACACACTCAACACAACGCAAATGTTAATGATTATCACACCTGATGGTTTACAGACCACATTGGATAAATGGTTCTCAAATAAAAACAACGCAATACACAGCCCGCCAACATGTTGTAGATGCGGTGATAATTATGGACATTCCGTAGGTTTTATGTATAATACCACCATAACCAATGCTTGGGAGCAGACAGCTATTAGTGAACGACTGCTATGCTTAAATGATGAGTGAGTCAGCTCTAACTTTCTTAGAAAACCCAGTACAAAATATGCTACACCTAAACAGAACACAGGCACTGGTCTGCAGACAGATTTCCTACACTCGATCCAGCAACTCCTAACTTTGGTTTATCTAGTAATGATATGGCACAGTTGGTGAGAAATGGTGGTGAAATAAGCGGATATACTGTAGTGCTGAGAATTAGGTTTAATAGTGTTGTGCTACACAGGACGCTGAATTTACATGACGCCCCGTCCACAGACATGGCCTCATACACCGTCTATGTACACAATATACTATCAGACATTGTATCGTTCTCCAGGGTGTTGGCTGGTGATGGTAGTGTTATCAACATTACCCTAAGAGGTGATAGCATTTACATCAGATGTTAAACTGTTGTCAAGAGACAGTTACAATGTTGACAGGTTTGCAGACACAATTGAAAAGGTTATGCAGAGTAACAAGAACATTACAACAGACAATAGTTTGATGTTGACTGTCTCCATAGCTATGAGTAAAAATGGCGGTGTTCAGCATAAGGTGCTTGACCTCGCGCACAATCAGGTGATTGATAGGAACAGAATGAACCTCTTTTGCCCAACGAACATTTCAAATCTGTTTTGCGATCTGTCTTGCTCATTTTCTGAACCCACATGCACCACAACACGTTAGAAACTATAGCCAATCAGATACAGGCAAAGGCTGGTTACATGCGTGATCACAAGGTCGGGTTTAATGACTGGTCATTTGGTGTTAAAATAGTTGTTTCACAAATAGTTCATGTGGTTTAGAGATGTACCAAACGAAAGACAAACCACATGCCAGGACTGTTTCTATATCTCCATGATGGCCATTATTGCTTGGTAAAAAATTTGAAAGCGTTCATGGGTGTACTGTATGTTTAAGTTTTGTTGGTGTGCACTAACACAAGGGGTCGTAGTTGTAAATATCATTGCGATGTGTGTCAGGACACAGAATGCAGTCAAACCCAAACATGTCAAATATTGTGATGACTGTTCACGCTACTGTAAATTTAACTATTGTTATGACCAACACAAGAAAAAGAAACAACCTATTACTGGGGAGATGGCGTCCTCATGCAATTTGACTAAATACTGTGGATCATGTGGTCAACGTTATCATGCTGGTTTAACTAAGTCAAAACCCCACAAGTGTATGTCAGGTCATTGTGTTCACTGTCATGAAGAATCATCAGATACAACACAATGTTACATACAGCCGATCAAATTAAAAGAACCAAGTGAGGCTTGCATCTTCTTTGACTTTGAGACATGATTTGAAAATGGTAAGCATGAAGCTAACTTTGTTCAGCGAAACTTATGTTCAGAGAAGGGGCATTTTCAACAAACATTTAATTTGACGCAAAATGAGAACTATGGGACCTTTTTACAGCTATGACTCAATGAGTAACAAGGACAGAAAGCAGTTTGACAAGTGGTACAGCACAGTCTCTGATGTGTAACTTCAAAAAGGAGTTGTTTGTTTATACAATGTTTTATTACGTGAAGCTTGCATTAAGTATCATGACGAGTTCATTCAGTGTACAAAGCTAGACCCGTTTAATTATACAACATTAGCATCATGTTGCATGGCTGTGTACAAGACACATTTTCTACCAAACCCTAACTCATGTTGAAATGAAGTTTGGTGTGTATTATGTGGATGGGTATTATGAAAAGGATGGCGTACAAAAAGCCTTAATTTAACGGGTGTAGGCATCATGGTCATGAATGTTGTTACAGTCCGAACCAGCCTCATCTGATGTCAAAGGTGTTGTATGGTGAATTGCAAAAACAGTAACACCAAGGTACAGATCCTTGTTCGAGCATATGGTCTAGAGGTGGAAGTAATGTGGGAATGTGAGTGGGCCAAAGCTAAGAGGGATGACTTGGGTGTAGCCGCTTTCATGTCTAACTACACACCGCCTGAAAGGTTGAAACCAAGAGATGCGCTCTTTGGTGGCAGAACCAACGCATATAAGCTGTATTACAAAGCAAAGGAGGGTGAGAAAATCAGATATTTGGACTTCACTAGTTTGTACCCGTTCTGTCAGGCTAGAAAGAAATACCCTGTAGGTCATCCTCAAATATTTTTCAAAAATTTTTGACCTCTGGAGGAGTACTATGGTTTAGTCAAGGCTACCGTACATCCACCAAAAAAACTCCTACACCCTGTGTTACCATACCGCTGCAATGGTAAGTTAACGTTCCCACACTGTCGTATTTGTGCCGAGCAGGAAAGCCAACTTCAAACTTGCGCACACAGTGATGAAGACACATCCATCACCAGGTCTTGGGTTAGTATTGAGCTGATGAAGGCTATTGAGAGGGCATGTGGTGGCAAAAATCCATGAGGTTTGGCATTTTCCAGAGAGTTCAGAGACGTTGTTCTGCGAGTATGTAAAGACTTTTTTACAGTACAAGCAGGAGGCCAGTGGTTATCCAGAACATGCTGTCACAGGGGAAGAGAGGGCAGAGTACATCAGGGATTATTTTGAGAAGGAAAAGGTTCAGCTGAATCCTGACAAGATAAGCCTTTACCAAGCACGTCGGTCTATTAAGAAATTGTTAAAGCTTGTGGGGTTGTTTTTTTTTCAATAAGGGAAAACTTGCCAGTGTCCGAGATGTTGACTAATCCAGAACAGTTTTCACTGCACATATTTGGTGACGGATATGACGTTAAACACTTCATTTGTGTCTGATGCCACAGTGTTGATTCAGGAGTGCTATTCTGCTGGAGACAGCTGCCCAACACGTGACGATGTGTTTCTTGGTGCTTTTACAACAGCGCACACTCATTTAGAACTTTACAATCTGATGGATAGATTAGGTGACAGACTCTTGTACAGCGATACCGAGTTATTTTTGTTTTCTCGTGAAGGCGATTGGGAACCCCCTCTGGGGCCCTACTTAGGTGATTTGACAGACGAAATTGGTGGTGATTACATTAGAGTTCTGCTTGGCAGGGCCTAAGACATACGGTTATCACACAGCAACCGTTAAAACATGTATGAAAGCAAAAGGTATCACACTAAACTCTGACAATTCAAGTCATTAGACTATACATACTGATTGGTCTTGTCGATCATTATGTGGTAAATCGTGACCGTAGTCGACATGTACTGGCTCGTGCAGACGGCATCGTAAGAAATAAAAAGAACCTCACGCTGAAAAACAAGTCAGTGGTGAAACGCTTTAAAGTCGTATACAACAAACGGGTCCTGTTGTCTGATTTTTCAACACTCCCTTATGGATACTAAAGGTGTCCATCACTATCATGGGGTGCGAGATGTTGAAGGGTTTGATTTTAGATTACATCCTTTTTCTTGTGTAATAAGTGGACCATCAAATTCTGGAAAAACATTTTTTGTAAAACAGTTGATGGAACGTGCTGATGAGTTGGTTTCAGAGAAAATAGAAAACATGGTATTCATTTGATTGTTGGCAACCCTTTTATGATGTTAAATAATAAATATTAATTTTGTTCAAGGGATACCAACATCACTAAATGACAACACACTTTTGCCACTTAACAGAAATAATTTGTTAATTATTGATGTTATGAAAGCTGCTAGCAATAATGCTGAGGTGGAAAAGGTAATTATGCAGTATGTACACCATCGAGATTTAAGTGCCATTTACCTAATACAGAATTTATTTTTTAGTCTAGTAGGACAATTTAGTTTGAACACAAATTACCTCATTGTTTGAAAATCCTTGAGGCAACAATCAGGTATTAGACAGATATACCCTGGTAATACAAAGTTTTTTTTGAACAGAGACACGTTATTTTACAAGCAGCATCTAATGAACTTATTTTAACTCTGAAGTGGCTCTTAACGTACTTAACGGTACCATACCTCTCACATCAACACAATATCATGTGTTAAAGAAGTGTGAATTTTTTTGCTGATAAAGATTGGTGTTTTCATGAAAAAAGAGTAAGTAGTCAGAAAGGGGGTTTTCTTCTACCGTCGTTAAGAAATGCTTTACCGTTTATAACAAGTTTGATAAACAAATGTTTTTGGTACCACGACACCAGTTGGATAAGTTAAATTGTAGAAAATGACTTGGATGTGTCTATTAGAAATATTTTTTTGGGTAGGAATGATCTTGACGCTCATGAGAAAGCCGAGCTTTATGCCGCTCTTTTGCAGAGATATTTAACCATTTGCTAAACGGGGATATGGAGACCAACACTTTAACATTGTCCCTACCACACGCAGATAATATTAATAAGGATGTAAATGTTGATCAGACTGACAAAATGATGTAATCATTGTTCTTAGAAATGTACTCTCACGAAGGAAGAGGAATGTTCAGTATGTTTTAGATAAAATGTCTAAATCAAAAGATTTGTCTTCTTGGAATGAATCAGGAGAATGTGTCTTGCATGGAAATCCAATCCCTGGGTCACATTCTGGACTTGGTGAAAAGTATCATGATTTTCTAGAGGCTTTTGCTGTTCTAAATATACTACTTTCTACCATACCAAACAAGCATGTAAGACAAAATTATTTTGTTAAAGTAAAAATCTGTTGGTTATGCTACAAGACTTTTCGCAAACACCTGTTAAGTGTTGAAACCCCACCATTTATCTCCCCCATTCTAGTAAATGGTTAAGCTTCTAAAATGTGTTTTTTTTTGTTTTTTTTTTTTTTGTTTTGTTTTGTTTATCATTTATTTGTTTAACAGTTTATCGTGACTATGTAAATACGTTTCAGGAAATACTGTGTTAAATTGATGTTTCACTGTTACATATTTGTAAATAAATGACTGAGTAGAAATTTTCTTTGTTTTATTTATCAACCATTACATCACATAGGGACACAATTATACAATAAACATGCACCCTGTTTGAACATGCTGCACACATTTAAACATTCTGGTCTTACAAACACGCATTAAATATTTTCACCAAAGTTGAAACCATATTGTCTTTTTTATTAAATCAAAACTATATTTAGACATCACTTCATAGCATGTCCCATTAGCCATGTGATGTAGAAAAGTGTTGACCACAAGTGGTTGATGTAAAATCTTGTACATGTCTCATTGAATACTGTTGTGTTCTGTGTGATGTTTTAAAGTCACTAATCATTTTAGGGAACTTGTCATAGTCTGGACCATTTCCAAAACTGTCAAAAAAACACCAGACACGATCTTCACTTATGTAGATTGCAAGCCAGTGTTCTCCGGGGAGATCAGATGTATGTGTATTAATAATGACCATTGTAGGTAATTTCCTTATGACGTTTGTTGGTAATTGGTTGCATGCTAACACACCAAGAAAATGTGTGTTGTCTGTTACTTTGTATATGCAGTTTGACAGTATCAAAGTGTCTAACTGAATACAGGTTTGTGGATTTTTTTTATTAATGAATAGTTTAGAGCTGACTGCTGTCATGGACAATCAAATTTATGGTGTGTGGAAGGGGTTGCCTGAAACACGCTTCCAATCTTATATTTCCCAATTTGACCAGACACATGTTGGCCGCATTGTTCATCAGGTGTAAGATTAAACACATACAGAGTGTGGCCCTGTAGGAAATCTGTCCTATCAATAGGTAACGCCTGGTTTTTCAGATGCCTCCCAGATGCAAGAGCTAACTGATAAAATTCACGTACGGCAGAGCCAGACTGGAAATCGGGTTGATGCGGTTTAGCTGGATATTGCTGACCATCTACATAGACTGCAAGAAACTCGATCATAATGTTTGAATGCAAAAGGATTTTTATTGTATGCACCTGTAAATGTGTCATTGTCAACCATCGCTATTATCATAGACTTTGGGTCCCCAAGAACATTATTTTGGTTAGAAACACGTGTTCCAGCGGGTATTTAAAAAAAAATTTAAACATACTCTATCAATCGGATATTTAGCCGTCAATGACAGCAATGCCTGAGCATGACCTAACCTTACAGCTGGTGATACACTTTTTTTTTTTTGACAAAGATGCCAAGAGAATGTTTACTTTGTAAGCTAACGCATCATGTCGCATTAGACAGAATTCATCCTTAGTACGTGTCATATGTATTTTTATATTCACACCATTTAAGCATCAGTTTCTTTTGAAAAAAAAAGTCGCTATGAATCAGGGTCAGCACTACTACCACATTAATAACATTCGTAAATGTAGCCCTTTTTGTCAAACTGCAGTTGTTCCTAGCAGGGTTTGTTTCATCCATATGCCCTGCGGTGTCCAGATAAGAGTCCAGCAGAGAAAACAGTTTCCAGGGTATCACAACCATAGTTAGCGAGACACTCTATGATACTGCGGTATGGGTACGTATTCGAAGTCTGTCGCCTGGGGACACATCGATCTATGAAAATATTGTCGCTCCGGGGTAGTTTATGAAACCATCAGACGCACCGTCATCAATGTCACTTCCAGCGGGTTTCGTGATTTTAAGGCGGAGGTACAAGAACGTGTTATTCAAATCCATATAATCTTCCATGCCCAGCTATGAAAAACTCCAAAGGAGCTGTGTCGGATATTGCCAAAAGCGGCGGAATTTTGACAAGTGGTTTTTCTCGATAGTCATTCGTGTTAAAGGTACTGTAAATAGGTCCAATTTAATACATTCTTCAGACATGCAATGAAGCAGCGCCACGATAAGAAAATAGTATTTACAGTCTTTCTACAAGATGGTGTTTTTTTTGGGCTCACGCTTGGTTTTCTTAGCAGGTCGACCACGCCTATACTAAACCCCCTCTTGAACAACGGTATAGCCATTCTAAATACATTTCTAAAAATACTACCAAAGCCAGCTCCATACATTGCAGGGCTACCTGTATAGTCAGGCATGATACCACCCGCTTGATTTTGGTAGTAAAGACATAGCATTCAGGGTCTGTTGTATATGTATTGAAAGCCTCCATTTAAAACCTGATTGGGTGTTTTTACAGGTCTAAAGCGACAGAGAGCACGCCACTGCGAACTACAGAGCATGTCACCGCGAGCAACAGAGAGCAGTATACCTTAGAGCTTCAGATCGAGCAGTGTCCAAACTTTAAAGTTTGCAAGTTTCCCCTTCGGTGGTTGCGCCAGCCTCGTCTTTTTGCACACTAGGAGACGCCATTCTCACGCCAGCCCCACATGGACCCTGGGAACGCCAGTGCCGCAGAAGGCCTTGCAGACCCTCACCACCACCCCAGCCGATATTCACCTCCTGCAACCGTTTCGCTGACCTCAGTTCACCGCCTGCACCCTCACCTACGTCTCAGGCCTCCTCGTCACCCGCCCCAGCGCCTCGTCCCTCTACACAAGACTCAATTTGTTATCGGTAGTTCTGTTGTCCGCCACATAAAAGTAAAGGTTAAACACCCATGCCACTGTCTCTTGTCTTCCAGGTGCACGGGTTTTAGACATAGCCAAGCCAAGCCAAGCCAAGCCAAGCCAAGCCAAGCCAAGCCAAGCCAAGCCAAGCCAAGCCAAGACCACGACTTTGATGCTCTGTGTCCAACGGAGACGTGGATTAGACCTGAAGAGTACTTGGCTTTAAATGAAGCCACCCCAACAGGCTATAGCTATGTACATAGTCCTTGTTGGAGATTTTAATATCCACATAGACAAACCACAGGATCCGCTAAGTGAGGCATTTGTATCTATTTTAGACTGTTTTGGCTTCACTCAAAATTGTGGCCTACTCATTACTGTAACCACACTCTAGACTTAATATTGACCTTAGGTATAGACATTAAGCATTTGGCCATCCTTCCTCAGATCACAGCAGTGTCAGATCGCTACTTAATCTCATATGAAATCAGTTTGTCATATGTCAATCCACACGCTATAGTGCTAAGCGTACTATAACATCGTCTACACCCAATAGCTTTATTGAAAACCTTCCAGATCTTTCATCCTTAATTAGCTGTCCGTCTGAACCTAATGAATTAGATATGCTGACTAAATGTTTAGAGGACACTTTCTGCTCTACTTTAGATATTGTGGCTCCACTAAAAAGTAAAAGAATAAAGCAGAAAAGGCTCGCCTCATGGTACAATGATCATCCTCAAGCTATGAAACAGACTGTTTTAGAGCGTAAATGGCGTCAGACTAAACTTTAGCTTTTCCAATCTGCCTGGAAGGAGAATCTTATAGACTATAGGAAAGCATTAAAGTCAGCACGTTCATCTCGTCAATGATTGAAAATAACAAGACGACGTTTTGCCAGAAATAACTAAGCCTTTTCTGTCTATAATAAACTCTGCTCTCAGTCTCAGCTATATTCCAACGTCTCTTAAATTATATAAAAATAATTAAACCCCTAATTAAGAAATCTAATCTTGATCCCTCTGAGTTATCAAACGTTAGACCTATTTCAAATCTTCCCTTTTTATCAAAAATTTTAGAGAAAGCCGTGGCAAAACAATTATGTTCCCGTCTGCATAGGAGTGATATACATGAAAAATTTCAGTCTGGCTTCAGGCCTCACCATAGTACTGAAACAGCGTTAGTGAAAATTGTGAATGATCTTTTGCTATCCGTTGACGAAGGAAACATATCCGTACTGGTTTTACTTGATCTTAGTGCAGCTTTCGACACAATAGACCATTCCATTCTATTAGACAGGCTTGAAAAGCTAGTAGGAGTGACAGGTAAAGCTCTTTCGTGGTTCAAATCTTACCTTAGTGATTGCTATGAGTTTGTTAATGTAAATGGTGAACCATCAGCTCTCACAAGAGTAAAGTATGTTCCACAGGGCTCTGTCTTAGGACCTATACTATTTACCTTACATATGCTACCACTAGGTACCATCATTAGAAAACATGGCATCAGTTTCCACTGCTACGCCGATGACACACAATTGTATATTTCAGCTAAACCAGAGGACAGAATTTAACAGATACAGGACTGTGTAAAAGACATTAAAGATTGGATCTCAAGTATCTTCCTCTTACTAAACTCAGACAAAACATAAAATCTTTTTCTTGGTGCAAAAGCTGCTAGGGATAATCTGCCTACGTTAACTCTCAATCTCAATAGTTTCTCAATTGCACCAGGCACATCTGTAATAAAACCTTGGTGTCACGATCGATCCCGATCTGGCCTTTGATGAGCATATTACCAATATTACCAGAATAGCTTTCCTCCACCTGCGTAACCTCGCTAAATTAAGAAATGCACTGTTGCTACAGGATGCAGAAACGTTAGTTCATGCCTTTATTACGCCCAGGTTAGATTACTGTAACGCACTGCTTTCTGGTTGTTCCAGCCAAAACCTTAACAAGCTTCAGTTAGTCCAGAACGCTGCAGCCAGAGTTCTCACCAAAACCAGGAAATTTGACCATATTAGCCCAATTGTGTGTACCTTACGTTGGTTGCCAGTTAAATTCCGCTTTGAGTGCAAAATTCTTCTACTGATGAATAAAGCTTTGAATGGCCTTGCTCCTCAGTACCTCAGTGACCTTATTTCCTACTATCAACCGACACGCCCACTTAGATCACAAGGTGCGGGCTCATTATTAGTACCTAGAATTAATAAAGTTACATCAGGGGGAAGAGCCTTTTTATGCAACGCCCCCCAGCTTTGGAATAACCTACCAGTCAGTGTTCGGGACTCAGACACAGCATCCATCTTTAAGTCTAGGCTAAAAACTTACCTGTTTAGTCG